AGTAGGGGCCAGGCATGAGGCAGCCAATCAATGATTCTCTCTTGTCATTGATGTTTCTATATCTTTATCTCCCTCTCCCTTCTACTCTGAAATCAATAAAATAAAATAAAAAATAAAAAATAGGCTGCTGGCCCATAGGCAACAGTTTGCCCACAGGCCCTAATTTATATAACATTATCCTTTCCCCAGCTACTCCCAAGATCAACAATTGGGTATGTCCACACAGGTTTATGCAGTGTTGGTATTGGTACACTATAAATGCTCAATGAAGAACAGCAGCCAACAGGAACATGCAGGCACCAGTGAAATATGAATGCCCTTCCAGTATTACTTTCTTGATTGTCATCCCAACATGTCACTGAATATTCTAAAGGCTAGGCACATATGATTAACTCTTCTGTGCCCTCACCCCCTCCCACAGATGTCAGGGGGGGTTACCAGAAGAATGACTGAAGGAAATCACAAGGGTTTCAGATTCTGTGGCAGCAGGCCATTCTTTACCTGCTTGCACAGAGGGTTTTTCTCTGGGGTTTCCATATCCTGGCATGCCCCCACAAACTGAAACTTAGCCCTGTGAGAGCCAGTCCTGCTATGTATTTCTTCCAAGCCAAAGGGTTGGGGACAATCCAGAGAGCCAACCAAAGTAACTTGTGCTGACCAAGAAAAAGAAAGCGACACGGTCATCTCCAGAAAGTCTGCCACGGGACTGAGGAACTAAAAGTCTGTTCTGCTCTCTGCCCTGGCCACCCTGCGATGGTCTTCCTCAAGGAGCTGCATCCTTCCAAGGAGAGGGCAGCTTGCTCCAAGTACTCCAGGTGCTGTGTCAAAGCTTCCTCTAGTCCAGGAAAGCTGTACCTCTACCCAGGGAAATGTTCTGGTTTTTGGTAGCTGCTATTTAGTCAATGCTATAGATACAGGGTGACTTCAAGTGGCAAAAAGGGGTGGGGAAAAGCTACTTCAATTGGCAAAAAGGAAGGGTGACTGGGATAAGGCCTTTCGCAGTTCCCACACAGAGGGTACTGGCCTGTGTAGCTCTGTGGTTAGTGTCATCCCATGCACTAAAGGGTCACAGGTTCAATCCCAATCGGGGCATGTGGGTAACACACCAATCCATGTTTCTCTCTCATATTGATGGTTTACTCCCTCCCTCTCTTTCTCTCCTTTCCTCTCTCTGTCTCTAGAATCAAGGAAAAAACATATCCACAGGTGAGGATTAAAAAAAAAACACACACAAAAAAACAGGGCTGGCCTTAGCTGGGTAGCTCAGTTGGTTAGAATGTTGTCCCAATACACCAAGATTGTGGGTTCAATCTCCAGTCAGGACAAATACAATGTCAACTAATGAATGCATGGGTGGGTGGAACAAGTCGATGTTTCTCTCTCTTTCTCTCTTCCTCTCTCTCTCTCTCTCTCTCTCAAATCAAATTTAGAAAGAAAAAAAGAAAGAAAGAAAGCAACAGGGCTCTATGTCCTGCTATCCTTACACAGCTCCCAGACCTGCCACCTCAGGCAGGGGTCGCAGCCCAGCGGTCCCACTTCCATCTGCAGGAAATGCAAGAGAGCCGGGCAGCCTGCAACATAAGGGGATCCCTCCCAGAAAAGCCAGTCCTTTACTGTTCTACACGAATAACATCACAGTCACCAATATCTATAGAAATAGCGACTATTTAATGCCAGACACCCTGCTCCACACCCCATGGCCCACTTCACTCACATCCCCGGGTTCTAAGTAGCAGTATTCCCAATGCGGATGAGGAAACTGAGGCTGTGTGCAGGTGAGTATTGCTACAGGTAAAGAAACAGGCTCAGGGAAGTGAAATGGCTAGTATAAGACCATACTAGTCAGACTCCACATTCAGAACCCTCATCTACATCCAAAGATCCCCTGGCCCAGTCCCACATGGAGGAACTGGGAAATTCATACAGGTATCCAGGCCAACCCTGTCTCAACCCAAACACAAATTCAAATCCTAGGGGTGATCTAGAAACAGAAGCAGCTCGAAAGACTCCACCTCATGAGGGACAAGTGAGTAAAACTGGGCTCCTGATGCTTTCTCACCTGGCCAAAGAAGCATTTAAATCCCAAAGGGACCCGGGTGGGAAAATACTGAGGCCAGAGAAGGAAATTCATCCCAAGAGAATGCCTAGAAAGCTTCCAGCAGCCTGGTTCCCCCAAGTCCCAACCCCACACTCCCTATTGCCCACCCAGCTGCCATATGCCTGCACATTTCCTCAGTGGCTAGACCATCTCTGACTTTTTCCAGGGGGCTGTCAGTCAGCACTCCATACCCAGCAGGCCTGCTCTCAGATCCAGGAGCAGTGTGTAGGGCACACCCCATTCCTGGTACTTTGCACTCCCTAGTACCCTTCACAGCAATCCTTCCCTGTGCACCCACTCTCCAGGCCTGCTCAGGAACCAGCTGCCTCACTCAGACTAAGAGGCCATGGCCAGCCAGTTATTGGAGGAGCTTTAGGTAGCACCTCCAAGTGTCCATTTATAAGGAAACATGCTGTGCCACAGTCCTAGCATCACCCCCATTCTACCAATGAAGAAACTGAGGCACAGACGTACAGCTACGTTAGGGCATCAGCCTAGCCCACACAGTGGACAAAAAAGAGAAAAACTATGTCCAAGCCCTAATCCCGAGAGCCCATGAAGATGACTTCACCATTTGTAAAAAGGATCTGTGCAGATGTAATTAAGGATCTTGAGATAAGATCATCCTGGATTTAGGGTGGGCCCTCAATCCAAAGATAAGTGAAGGGAAGAGACTGGGAATATGGAAGCACAGATCAGAGTTGTGTTGCTGTATGCAAGCAATACCTGGAGCCATGGAAGCTGGAAGAGGCAAGAAAGGAGCCTCTGGAGGGAATGTGGCTGCCAACACTCTGATTTCAGACTTTGGGCTAGGAACTGTATGAAAATAATACATCCCTGTTGTTTTGAATCACCACGTTTGTTATGGCAGCTAATGCAAGCAGGTTCAGCTGACTCCAGAACCCCTGCTCTCAACCCCACACTATGTTACGTGAACATAAACGGGGGTGGAGGCCAGGGAATCTTTCAGACTCCTGAGACTGTATCATCCCAGACTAAGGATCTCAGTTAAAAAAACTTCACAGCAATCCTTCTCCTCTTTACAAATAATACTTCAGTTATGAGTTACCTCAAAAAGAGAAGTGCTGCCGAAGCCTGTTTGGCTCAGTGAGCGTCGGTCTGCGGACTGAAAGGTCCCAGGTTCGATTCTGGTCAAGGGCATGTACCTTGGTTGCGGGCACATCCCGGTAGGGGGTGTGCAAGAGGCAGCTGGTCGATGTTTCTCATCGACATTTCTAGCTCTCTATCTCTCTCCCTTTCTCTCTGTTAAAAATCAATAAAATATATTTTTTAAAAATAAAAAAAGAGAAGTGCTATCTTCATAGCTCATACAATTCAAGATTATCAGCAAAAACACGAAAGTAAAAACTTTCCTAAACAAAGATGCTAATAGGGGAAACCGGGTATGAAGCATATAGGAACTTTCTTTACTATCTTCCTAATAATCCTATCAACCTCAAATTGTTTAAAAATCAAAAGAAGTTTATTTGCGAAGAAAAAAACCAACTCTCCTGGACCTAATTCCCTTGTTGGTCAGCCTTGGGACCTTAGTTTGAAAAACTCTACCCTACTTTACTCCGTTCCCCAGTAATACTTGCAGAACGAATGCCCTTATTTATGATCTGGGGGATCCTACTCAGCTTAGGATGGACCTGAGTTCCGATGTCCACCTGGGACACCTTTCTCCCGTCTCATCTGGTCCAAGATCTAGCTCTGCCCCAGCAAAGAGGGGTGGACACTTGGGGGAAATAGGCACAGCTCCCTGAGTTTGAGTTTTCTAAGTCAAGGCACAGGGAGAAACCTGTGTGAGAACCAACTGCACTTCACACCCTACACCCAAAGTGGCAAAAAAAAAAAAAAAAAACCCCACACACGCTAAAGCCAGCAAGAGACTCCTGAGTGGCTCCCCCAGAGCATCTGTGGAAGAAACCCTGAGAGACAAAGCTGAATGAAACATAATAGCAAAATTTGAAGGAGGTATCAAGAATGGGCGAGAACAGAGAAGAAGGAGTAACAAAAGAAAAGGGATGAACTACAAAGACGAGGGGTCCTTGGCAAAGCCATTTGTGATTTCCCCTTAGCCCTTAAAATGTCAGTTTGGAAACTCATAGCTTCTGAAAAAGCACCCAGCTTCTCACGTCCCCCGAAAGGAAGACCCGAGGACCATGGCACAGGAGGAAACTGTTACCTCTTCGGCCCGGGGCATCAGGACGGGGGCCCTATCCATTCGTTCTCCCCGAGCACCACCCTCTCCTCCGGCCCCGATGGACAAGTTTCCCAGTGTGGGGAGGGGGAGAGGGTCCCCAATACCACGCCCTCCAGATGGGTGGACCCGGTCCCCTAAGCCGCCCCAGACTGGGCACCACTTTCCAACTGTCCTTAGCAGTCCAGGGGGGAGGGGGTCCCCGAGGCGCCAGGAGCTGCCCACACACCTCTCCCCCTGCAAGGCGGCCACACCCGACCGCAGGACTCCCCACCTCCAGCCCCCTTCTCTCCCACCCAGCCCCCACTCCCCCGGCGTCATCTGAATCCACCTTCCACTCCCGATCCCCCCCCCCCATTTCCTGCCCACCCCCTCCCAATCTCAGGGCCCTCACTCCCCTGTTTCCCGCTTCCCTCAGTCCACGGGGCGCCTCACCTCCGGCCGCCACGCACGCCCTCTTTTCTGCCTCTGCTCCTGGACACCCCTCCACCGGGGCCCCACACAGCGCGCCCCCCGGCTCGGCCCCCCGCACCCCACTCCAAGCCCCAGCGGCCCGGGGCCCCTCGCCCTCCGGCCGCCAAGCCCCTCACCCACCGCCGCCGCCGCGTCCCTCCCGCCCGGGCCCCCGCCCGGCCCGCCTCGTGCGCAGTCGCCACGCGCCGCCCGGCCGCCCGCCCGGGCCCGGGACCCCGCACTCACGGCTGAAGAGGGCGATGCCCGCCGACTCCGGGCCGGCGCGCACCTCGAGGCGCAGCGCCTGATGCTCCGCGTGCCGCTGGATCTCGCCGTTCGCGTCGCCAATGGTGAGGAGGCGGGTGCCGGAGAACACCGACACCGTCGCGCAGGGCCCCACGACGCCGGCGCCTGCCGTCACCATAATGCCCGCGCCCGGCCCCGCCGTCGCCGCCGCTGCTGCCATCTTAGATCCGGCTCCAGGCCCCGCTGCCGCCGCCGCTCCCGGGCCCAGGCCGCCGCCGCCGCTCCTGCCGCCGCCGCCGCCGCGCAGGCCGAGGCCGAGGCCGAGCCGGGCAGCGCCGCCTGCGGGCCACGCGCCGCCTCGCTGCCACCGCCGACGGCCCGGCCCCGTGGCGCAGCGCCCCCTGCCGGCGGCCCAGGGCGCGGGGAGGGAGCACGCGGAGGACCACACTCGCCGCGGGAAGGGGTCGGCCCCGCCCCGCCCCACTCCGCCTCGCGCGAACGGTCGCCGCTTTGTGAGGTGGTCGGTGGCCCCGGCGCGGCGGCAGCGGCGGCGGCGGGAGCGTGCGTCAGGGGGCGGGGGCCGGGCTAGGCCACGCCCCTGACCTAGCCCCGCCCCCAGCCCGCAGAGGCGAGGCCCCGCTAATGAGCAGTGCGAGTGCGGAGCCACGGGAGGGCGGGAAGGAGAGCGTCTGGGGCAGTGCCCGGTCGTGCACACTGGCCCCGGGCCCGCCCAGCGCAAAGGACCCCGCTTTATGAGGCGGCGCCCCGATCCGGGAAGCGGAGGGGGCGTGGCTGACGCCGGCTGCTTGGACACGCCCCTGAGGCTGGCCCCGCCCCCTCCCTGCCAGGCCGTGTGAGGCGGCGTGTGGAGGGGCTGAGTTCAGTTGCCATGGGCCCGCCTCTGTGCTGGCTCTGCTCCCTCCACGGGTCCTCCCTTTTTTTTTTTTTTTTTTTTTTTTTTTTTTTGGAGAGGGAGAGAAACATCAATGATGAGAGAGGGGGAAAAAAAGGGCTTCTGTGGTGAGTGGTACACATAGAGCAGCCTTAATGCTCTACGTGCGGAATCAACATCAAGAGATTTCAGAAGCAGCCGAAACCGGTGTCGCTCAGTGGATAGAGCGTCGGCCTGCAGACTGAAGGGTCCCAGGTTCCATTCTGGTCAAGGGCATGTACCTTGGTTGCGGGCACATCCCCAGTAGGGGGTGTGCAGGAGGCAGCTGATTGATGATTCTCTCTCATCGATGTTTCTAACTCTATCCCCCTCTCTTCCTCTCTGTGAAAAATCAATAAAATATATTTTTAAAAAGAATGAGTTGTCTATAAAGTGACTTTTAAAAAAAAGAGATTTCAGAAGCATAATTTGGCACGTGGGCAGCTGGTAATCCTTGGTCCTGGCACCCACAAAAAAAAAAAAAAAGATGAGAGAGAATCATTGATGTGCTTCCTCCTGCAAGTCCCCTACTGGGGCTAGAGCCTGCAGCCCTGGCATGTGCCCTTGACTGGAATTGAACCCAGGACCCTTTAGTCCACAGGCCAATGCTTTCTCCACTAAGCCAAACTGGCTAGGGCTGGGCCTCACTTTTTGAGGCATGTGGCACTTGGGGCACACCCCGGGTTGTGGCCCCATTCCCTCAGTCCACTGGTCTGCAAAAGCAGCTTTAGGTGGGAGTCACCCTCTACAAGCATGTCAAACTGGCGGCCTGCAGGCCACATGCAGCCCACAAGGAATATTTTTGTGGTCCCGCCAACAAAATGGTATGCAAGGCATGTTTTCATAAAAATTTTGTAACTTAACTTTTACAGTGTCCTGATACACGTCATTATTAATAACGAACCACAATGTTCGCTAATGGCTGATCACTATAATTATGTTGCATTCATTTCCCTTACACGCCTTACGCACAGGCGCACCATGTCTCTCCACTAATACCAGCAGCGAATATTTTAGCAGCCGATTGCCACGTCATTAGTCTTGTACTGACTTGTTTGGTGTGCGCAACAGGAAATGTTTCACTTTCAGAAAACAAGAAAAATAGGTTTATTTGTGTTACGCTTATTAATTTGTGCAGTTATTCAGTGTCTAGTAAGGCTCAAGAAAAAGATTTTTGAATTAAAATATTATTTTATGTTAACGATGACTCATTTGTTTCAGCCCTTTGTATTCAGCATGTCTCTATCGAAATAAACCTATGTTTCTATGAAAATGGAAACTTTTGCTTTTTTGTGGCCCACAGAAACTTAAAAACTTGTTTAGGCCCATGTTAGCCTTGGAGTTTGACGTGCTTGCTCTAAACCCAACCTATACCCCTCTCCTGCAACATTCAAGCGTTCCTTCCCTCTTCCCTCTGGACCCTTCCATTAGCCCTACTTTAACTTCCCTCAATGACGGCTGGCTGGTGAGTCTAGCTGAACATGGCGAAGTGCGCCTTTTCACACACACACACACACACACACACACACACCACACCACACACACCACACACACACCACACCACACACACACACACACACACCACACCACAACACACACACACACACCACACACACACACACACACACCAAACACACACACCGCACACACACATACCACATACACACACACCACACCACACACCACACACACACCACACACACACACACCACACACACCACACACACACCACACCACACACACACACACACACACCACACCACACACACCACACACACACACACCACAACACACACACACACACCACACACACACACACCACACCACACACACACACACACACACCACACCACACACACCACACACACACACACCACAACACACACACACACACCACACACACCACACACACACACACACCACACCACAACACACACACACACACCACACACACCACACACACACCAAACACACACACCGCACACACACACACCACACCACACACACACACACCACACCAACACACACACACACACACACCACACCACACACACCACACACACACACACACACACCAAACACACACGCCGCACACACACACACCACACCACACACACACACACCACACCACAACACACACACACACACCACACACACACACACACACACCAAACACACACACCGCACACACACACACCACACCACACACACACACACCACACCAACACACACACACACACACACCACACACACCACACACACACACACACACACACCAAACACACACACCGCACACACACACACCACACACACACACACACACACACACCACACACACACACACACACACACACACACACCACACACACACACACACACACACACACACATCTTCCTTTCAAGTCCCTCCCTCACTCTGTTCCAGGGCTGCTTTTGGGGGGACCCAAAGAGTTTTGTGGCCACTTATCATCTTCCCCAGCTCCCGCCCTTCCCTGGGCCTTGTCATGTACCATTCATTCTCCTCACTATTCCTCTGCCCCGTCCCCGCATCATTCCACCTCCTCTACTCACCAGCACCACGACCTTAGCAGAGATTCTCTGAGGCAGTGTCCCCTCCCCGCACCGTCCTGGGCCTCCCCAGGAACACCCTTGTCTGCTTGCAGTTGAGGGGTACTCCCCCCACACACCAGGCATCCAGTGATCGGTCCCAGAAGTCCAGGCTTGAAGAATGACACTCCACAGAGGTCTTGGGCACAGCTCAACGTGTGCTATAATGAATAACTTAGGCATACCAGCGAGGCAGACACTCAAAACACACCCCAGGTGCCCTGTGCTCCCAAAGCCCAGTTGGGTTGTCCACGTCGGGAGTGGCGAGGGAAGAGGAAACAGGAGGGGTGTGCAGAGAGCTCCGGCCTCGTAGGCCCAGCTGGGGACCAGACGGGATCGTAACCACTTCCCCGGTGGTCTGAGAAGCTGAGATTCCCAGGACAGACTTCCTGCTTTCCGTCCAGCCTCCTAGCCAGTGCCTGCTCCCCCTCCTCTCCTCCTGCTCCTCAGTGAGGAAGGTCCCAAGGCCAGGCATCCCTCTTGTCTCTGTTCAATTCCCTGAGAAAGCAACAGCGAGAGCCCCCGAAGTAGCTGGAGGGACCTCGGGCCCCACCCAGCCCCACCAGCTCAAGTGAGAATACTGAACGGAGGGTGGAGTGAGTGGACAGAGAGACGAGGGTCCCGATTCTCAGCCTCACTGGCAGGCCCGGAAGGTGCTGAATTCGGGGGGTTCCGGTGAGGATGACGTGGAGGTGGGCCTCTTCCGGGCCCTGGAGTTCTCGTGGGTTGCGGCAGAACCTGAGCAAGCATCCAGGCTGGCTGCGTCTCCTTCGGAAGTCATTTTCTTTGTCCGTGGAAGAGAAATAGAACCGGGTGATTTGGGGGTTCAGGGTTTCCCCATGTTCTGAGTCTGAGACTCCACAAGTCCACCAGGTCTCATCTCACCCACACACACCCACAGGCTCCACGGCTTCAGGGCCCTGATCTGCCTGCTGTCCTCCTGCCGTCCTCTCTGCTGAGTAGGGAACCAAGCATCCTGGGGCCAGATCCCAGCTCCCATACTTCCTAGAGGTGTGACCTCAGTGGAGGACCTAAGTCCTCTGAGCTCAGTTTCCCCTTTTGTACAACAGGGAGAGTACTAATACCCCCTCCAAGGGTTGCCATGGAGAAGCATAAAGGAATTAAAGCACCTGGCACATCACAGTGTAAGTACTAAGTAGTAAGGGAACAAAGCTATTGCTATAATTCCTCTCTTTCCATTCTGGGCTTCCTCAAACGTCTACCCTCTCCTCTGCCCTGCAGGCTCCTGCTCCAAATGCCAGCCAAGGAGAGATGAACCAGCCGAAACCGGTTTGGCTCAGTGGATAGAGCGTCGGCCTGCGGTCTGAAAGGTCCCGGGTTCGATTCCGGTCAAAGGTTGCGCATCCCCAGTGGGGGGTGTGCAGGAGGCAGCTGATCGATGTTTCTCTCCCATCAATGTTTCTAACTCTCTATCCCTCTCTTCCTCTCTGTAAAAAATTAATAAAATAGCCAAAACCGGTTTGGCTCAATGGATAGAGCGTCGGCTTGGGGACTGAAGGGTCCCAGGTTCAATTCCGGTCAAGGGCATGTACCTTGGTTGCGGGCATATACCCGGTAGGGGATATGCAAGAGGCAGCTGATCGATGACTCTCTCCCATCGATGTTTCTATTTTTAAAAAAATATATTTCATTGATTTTCCACAGAGAGGAAGGGAGAGAGATAGAGAGCCAGAAACATCGATGAGAGAGAAACATCGACCAGCTGCTTCTTGCACACCCCCCACCGGGGATGTGCCGGCAACCAAGGTACATGCCCTTGACCGGAATCAAACCTGGGACCTTTCAGTCCACAGACCGACGCTCTACCACTGAGCCAAACCGGTTTCGGCACATCGATGTTTCTAGCTCTCTATCTCTCTCCCTTCCTCTCTGTACAAAATCAATAAAATTATTTTTTAAATCAATAAAATATATATTTAGAAAAAGAAGAAGAGATGAACCTGAAGCCTGGCAGGGGAGCACAGCGAAGTCCTCCCTACTGGGTGACCCCAGTAAAGCACACAACCAGCTTCAGTCTCTTTGTTTGTAAAAAAAAAAAAAAAAAAAAAAAAAAAAAAAGTAAATTGCACTTTATAGGGTGTTACAAAGTAAATATCAAGATTCTCCATGTAGTAACACAGCACAAGCAAGCTAAGAGACCTGTCAGCTGCTTCATTTTCATTTCAGCCAACAGCACGGCTTTCTAACGCTTCAAAAAGAATCTGGAATTGAAAGCAGGGACGCAGACACTTGCACACCCATGTGCATGTGCTCATGCTAGCATTATTCACAATAGCCAAAAGGTGGGAGCACCTCGAGTGTCTGTCAGTGGGAGACTGGGTAAACAAACTGTGGTACACACACACACAATGGAGGGAAATCCTGCCATGCTGCAACATGAGTGAGCCTTGAAAACATTATGCTAAGGGAAATAAGCCAGACACAAAGGGATGAACTTTGTATAGACGCACTTCTACATAAAATGTCCAAAAAAAAAAAAAAGGGCAAATCTACATGCCCTGGCCGGTGTAGCTCCGTTGCTTGAATGTTGTTCCATGCACCACAGGACTGATGGTTCAAATCCTGGTCAGGCAGGGCACATGCCAGGATAGGCTCGATAGGGGGCATGAAGGAGGCAGCCGGTTGCTGTTTCTCTCTCACATTTTTTTCCCCTCTCTCTCCCTCTCCCTTCCTCTCTCTCTAAAACAAACAAAGGCAAGTCTACAGAAACAGAAAGTAGAATGGTGGTGGCACAGGGCTGGGTGGTTGCCAATACTGAGGAGTTACTGTATAGTGGGAACAGAGTTTCAGTTTTCCAGAAGTCTATAAATGAAAGATGGTGATGTTTGCACAATGTACATGTACTTAATGCCACAGGACTGCACTGCTTAAAAATGGTTACAATGCATCCTGATCTGTTTTGCTCAGTAAATAGAGCGTCGCCCTGCGGACTGAGGGGTCCCAGGTTCGATTAGAGTCAAGGGCATGTACCTTGGTTGCGGGCACATCCCCAGTGGGAGGCAGCTGATCCATGTTTCTCGCTCATCGATGTTTCTAACTCTCTGTCCCTCTCCCTTCCTGTCTGTAAAAAATCAATCAATAAATATATATGTGTGTGTATATATATATATATATATATATATATATATATATATTTTTTTTTTTTTAATGGTTATAATGGGATCCCAGCTGGATAGCTCAGTTGGTTAAAGTATCAACCTGATACACCAAGGTTGTGAGTTTATCCCAGTCAGGACACATAAAAAAATTAAACAACCAATGCCATAAATAAGTGGAACAACTCAATGTTTCTCTCTCTTTAAAATCAATAAAATTTTTAAAAACGGTTAAAAGGTACATTTTATTATGTATATTTTACTACAATTTGAAAAAAAATAAACTAGGAAAGATCACTAGAATTTTCTATTAAGGAAAAGAAGCACTAAACATAACAATGTAGATGTCATGCTATCATTTATGTTTAAAGGAGTGAGGATAATTCTGGCCAGTATGGGTTGGTTGGGTGTCATCCCAAACACCAAAAGTCTGCCTGTTCAACTCTGGTCAGAGCACATGCCTGGGTTGCAGGAGGCAGCTGATCCATGTTTTGCTCTCTCTCACTCTCTCCCTTTCCCTTTCTCTTTCTCTAAAAAATAATAAAATAAATAAATAAATAATCTTTACAATAAAATAAAAGGGTAAGGATATAGATTTGCTATTGTAACCTTTGCTTGCATTTTGCAAGAAGCTCCTAACAGTAATTACTTCTATGTCTGTAGAGAGAGAGAGACCAATGAGTTGAGAAGGGTTAAGTGATGGAAAAAAACACTACTATATGTATAATTTTGACATATGGGTGTGTTTTATATTCAAAACTTTTAATTAAAAATATAGCAATGAATAAGTATATAGTCACCACAGCTGAGATATTGAGAAATAAGTTGTTTCTCTGTTTCCCATAATTTCACTTTAAATGTCATTTTTGTTGTTGTTATTAACCCACACCCAAGGATTTTTTTTTTCTTTGACTATTAGAGAGTGGAAGGGAGGGGGAAAGACACACAGAGTGAAACATCAATGTGAGACACACTGATTGGTTGCCTTCCTCACACATCCTGACCAGGGCAGGGCTGAGGATCGAGCCTGCAACAGAGGTCTGAGGCATGTGCCCTTGACCAGAATCAAACCCAGGACCCTTCAGTCCCAGGGCTGATGCTCTATCTGCTGAGCCAAACCAATAGGGCTGAATGTCTTTCTAAAAGGAAAAATCAGCCGAGACCGGTTTGGCTCAATGGTAGAGCGTTGGCTTGGGGACTGAAGGGTCCAGGTTCAATACCGGTCAAGGGCAAGTTGCGGGCATATACCCAGGAGGGGGTGTGCAAGAGGCAGCTGATTGATGACTCTCTCTCATCGATGTTTCTAACTCTCTATCTCTCTCCCTTCCTCTCTGTATAAAATCAATAAAATATATATTTTTAAAAAAATAATAAAATAAAAAATAAAAGGAAAAATCACCAGGCTTGTGCCTTGAGCCTGTGGCTTCCCACGGAAAGTTTTTGAATTTGCCCTGCCTGCTGGCATTTCTTAACAACTCAGGATTTGTTTCCAGAGCTAAGACCTCAGAGGGCTGAACAGCCTGGTGCCAAGCCCCTTCCTTGCCACTATCTGTATACCAGGGACTGGGGACCAGTTCAAACTTCCCTGCTCTTCTCTCTGGAATTCCAGACTCATGACTCCGTCTGCTCTTGGGCATAACAGAATGAGGTGGTCTGTCCCTTTTCCCTCCAAGCCGTCCCTCCCCAAGACACCCCCACGCCTCTTCCTCCTTCAGCCTTCATCTACTATAGAATCAGCGCCATGCCCTGGCCAAGTGGCTCAGTTAGTTGGAGCATAGTCCCAAGCATCAAAAAGTTGCGGGTTGCCGAGGCCAGTATGGCTCAGTGGATGGAGCATCGGCCTGCGGACTGAGGGGTCCCAGGTTCGATTCTGGTCAAGGGCATGTACCATGGTTGCGGGCCCATCCCCAGTGGGGGGCTGTGCAAGAAGCAGCTGGTCGATGATTCTATCTCATCGATGTTTCTAACTCTCTATCCCTCCTTCTTCCTCTCTGTAAAAAATCAATAAAATATATATATATATTTTAAAAAGGTTGTGGGTTTGATTCCCAGTCAGGCAGATAGGAAAGGCAACTTTCTCATATCAATGTTTTTTTCTCTCTTCCTTCCTCTCTCTCTCTAAAATCCATAAACATATCCTTGGACCACCGGATTAAAAACAAAAAACAAAAAAACAAAAAACCAGATGCCCAGGAAGGGTGTGGTGACCAATCCAATAATCTCACCCCTTCCCACCCCAGTCCCATCTGAGTGCTTCAAGCAGAGGAGTCTGCCCCAGATGCCCTGACAGCAGTCCCACAGTGTCTACTTGTCCAAATGGGACATCGGAGGTCACCTCAAGTGGGACCACCTTCACCTCAGACCTGTATCCTCTCTGTACGAAGAGGAGCAGTTGAACATTTTCTTTATCTATGGTGTCCATGGCTCAGCCTTCTCTAACTTAAAGGGGAAAAAAAGGAATCCTATCTAATACAAGAGTAATATGCAAATTGACCATCACTCCAACACACAAGACAGCTGCCCCATATGGTCAAAGATCCTGCCCCCATGTGGACACATGATGGACGCCACAAGATGGCCAGCAAGGGAGGGTAGTTGGGGGTGACCAGATCAGCAGAGGAGGGAAGTTGGGGATGAACAGGCCTGCAGGGGAGAGCAGTTAGGGGGGGCCAAGCCTGCAGGAGAGAGCAGTTAGGGGCAAACAGACTGTCAGGGGAGCAGTTAGGCATCAATCGGGCTGGCAGGGGAGTGGTTAGGGAGTGATCAAGCTGGCAGGCAGGTGAGCATTCGGGAGCCAGCAGTCCTGGATTGTGAGAGGGATGTCCAACTGCCCGTTTAGGCCCTATCTTGGTAGGATTGTGCCTAAATGGGCAGTTGGACATCTCTCAAGAAGTCCCAGATTGGAGAGGGTGAAAGCTGGGTTGAGGGACAACCCTTCGACCCCTCCCCCCGTGCACAAATTTTGTGTACCGGGCCTCTAGTAAAGTATAAACACCAAAGCCATCCAAGACGGAGTTGTGCAGAGGGGTTCAAATCCCAGCTCGGACATGTATGATCTAGGGGAGCCACACCCCTTGATGAGGAGGGCTGTGTGTAGTGAAGAGGGAACATGTACAACAGGAACATTTAAGCTGAAGTCCCAGAAACTAAGCACAAAGTAGGCTGTTCTGTATATCAGGAGGGGGCTACAGTGTGCATCAAATTGTTACAAGGCTCCATGATCCCCCAAAAGCCATCAGGTCCCCCTGAGTCCCCTCTGGCACCATTCTAAGGGGTCGACCCAACTGAGTGCAAAAACCGTGCTGACCCAAATGCTAGCAGCACCCCCAGGCTGCCACTGCCACACAACGGCCCGGCTGTGGCCACCTCCAACCCCGGGATGTCTCAGAGCCAGCTCTCGGCTCATGAACAAACCCCTGCTCAGTGATTCTGGGCTTTCCCCCAACCTCCGAAACCACAGGTCAACCCAGCCTGGTGGCGGCCCCTGCCTTCCTGGCATTGGGACAGTAAGCCAGGGACCAAGACATGAGACGACTTACCGTTGAGATAGCAAACAGGGAATTATCGAAGGACATGTCTGAAAAAGAAAGCGAGAGGAAAACCAAAACTGGGGCCAGTTTCAATTCCTTATTCACCCACTTCCCCCAAGGCCACACACACCCAACGTAGAGCCTGAGGAGAGGGGTGCGATCTGTCTCAGGGCATCCTCTTTGCTCCCTTCCAGCCCATCCCACGGGGTGAGCCATTTGCAGTCGCAAATTGTATCACGGCCCTCTTACGCTCCGAGCCTCCTTCAGCAGCCTCTCGCTACCCTCGGACAAATGGGTTCCTCGTCTCAACTCCCGCTTTGGGGGGGGGGTCTTCTCAGCTCCTCCACTGCCCCAGGTCCTCCCGGAAGCACCTGCTTCAGGTCTCTGCTTAATAGCGCTTCTTTGGGGGGCAGCCCTCCTAGCCCCCACAGATCTGGGCCAACATCAGCTGTTCCCCGCTCTGGAATGTGAGCTTGTGGCCAGAGACCACCTCTGTCTTGGCCATTGAGAGAGCCCCATAGACCTCAATACACAGTAGGTGCTCAACAAATGCATGAGACGTTGAAAAAAAGTACAAGAATGGAGTGTCTCCCTTTGGGGGCCCCTTCCTGAGCATCACGCACACAGACTGGCTACCCCTCGTCCCCTGGTGGGAGCTGGCAGAGCGACACGTCTGGACCACAGTGGGAGCTCCATTTGAGGACGGTGACAGATGCCATGAAAGCACCAGGGTGCTCCAGTGGAAAGACAGACGCAGTGCGTCTCTCGTGGAGCTGACAGTGCAGCGGTGGAGGCAGATATTACATACCCAACAGGCAAGATTACTTGAACGTGTTTCTACTAAGGGGCAAGAAGAATGACAGGGTGCCTGTTGGGATCGGGCAAGTAGAAAGCACAGAACCTGTCTAGAAAAATCAAGGAAGGCTTCCTGGAGGAGGTGACCTTCAGACTGAGAGCAGAGGGAAGAAGAGTACTCTAGGCAGAGGGCAGTGTGCATGAAAGGCTCAAGCACAGGGCAAGGAGAGAAGGGGAGAGTTGAAACACGGGGTGGAGGGGAGTAGGAAAGGGGAGAGAGTGTATTCTTGCCTCAAGGGAAGTGGTCAGCCCCCAAAGAGGCTCAGTAGTGAGTAGTGAGGCCCATAGAGTTTTGAGGCAGTGAGCCTTGCATGGGAGAGGAGGTCGGGACAGGATCAAGGAGGAAGCACGAACCTGTGGTGGTGAAGTTGCCCTGGGCCCAGCAGGAGTCCCGCTCTCTGCAAAGGGATGGGAAGACAGTGATGCCATCTGCGGCCAGAGGCTTATTTCCAGGCCCCAGACTTGACCTTAGTTCCCCACCCATCCTGAATCCTCGCTTTTGGAAATTCTCTTGTAGGAGCCCCACAGGCCAGATGAAGTCAGGATCCCATCCCAGGGCTTCTGCTAGCTCTCTGCCACCCGCCGCAGAAGGGAGAGACGCAGGCCCGGACTAGTTGGAACATCCTGATGCCCAGGGACCAGGGCATCGAGCTGGGCACTGCACAGCCCCAGGGGGATGCCACTCGCCTGCTCCCACTGTGGGTTTCTAGGGCGATTAGAACATTTTGGGCAGCTGGCAGTCAAAGGATGCGAGGAAGGCTCAGCCACTGGCTCCCTGTGCCTCAGTCTCCTGGTCTGTAAAATGGGGCTATTTATAGTGCCTGCTTCCAGGCCCGCCATGAGGCTGACAGGAGCTCCAGCTTCAGTCTCCTAGCTCCTAGCCCAGTGCCCCGCACACCTGTTCCTGGGAAGCAGCGGTCCTCCCATCATTCGATGCCGTTTGCATGGAGCCACACAGCCAGGGAGTGCCCTTCTGTTCTGAGAACCTGGTCAGTTCTTAGAGTCCCTAACGCCCACCAGCAACTCATGCCCTGGGACTGAATATTTCTTTCTTCCAACTTTCCCCCCTCCCTCCCAAGGGTCTCCAGGGATGGTCTCACCTTTTCCTCTGCATTTTTTTTACTTTAACTGGGGAACAAAAAATAAACAAGCATTTGTTAGATTTGGGTCCTGGGTGCATCCTGGTTGCAAGTTTCTGAAAGCTAAAAAGCCAAAGCCCCCCTCAGACATGCGCCTTCTTCTCCCCTGGCAAATTTGCCACTAAGCGGGAGAACTACTGCAAACAGTTATTTTCCCCAAGTACATGAGCAATGTGTGTTGGTAAAAACTTCAAACGAAGTACAAGCATGTTAAATTATTTGTTTTGTTTTGTTTTAGAAAGGAGAGAGGGCAAGCGAGAGTGGCTGCCTCCCACACACACCCAACCGGGGATCAAACCCACAACCTAGGCATGTGCCCTGACTGGAACGGAACTCACTCTTCTGGTGCATGGGACAACGCTCCGACCAACTGAGCTCCCCACGGCAGACATTCAGCTTTTGACTAAATAACCCCTGGTGATCATATATGGCCCACACAAAAGATGGCCCTAAAATGGGTGGCTACATCCTCAATTTCTTCATTATATAGACATTAAATGAGAAGAGGAAACAATTTCAATTGGACATCACTGTCTCAAGACATCTGAAAAACAGCAGGTATTAAAAGTCTGTCTGGCCCTAGCCAGTTTGGCTCAGTGGATAGAGCATCAGCCTGTGGACTGAAGGATCCAGAGTTTGATTCCAGTCAAGGGCACGTACCTTGGTTGCTGCCTCCTCCCCTGACCAGAGCCCTCCTCCCAATTGGTGCAGGAGGCAACCAATTGATGTGATTCTCTCACATCAATATTTTGCTGTTTTCCCTCTCTCTTCCACTCTCTCTAAAAATCAATGGGAAAATATTCTCAGGTGAGCCGAAACTGGTTTGGCTCAATGGATAGAGCGTCAGCTTGGGGACTGAAGGGTCCCAGGTTTGATTCCAGTCAAGGGCATGTACCTTGGTTGCAGGCATATCCCCAGTAGGGGGTGTGCAAGAGGCAGCTGATCGATGACTCTCTCTCATTGATGTTTCTAACTATCTCTCTCCCTTCTTCTCTGTACAAAATCAATAAAATATTCTCAGGTGAGGATTAAAATAAATAAATACCTTATAATTAAAAACAAAACAAAAAGGTTGTCTGGCCCTGGCCTGGTGGCTCAGTTGGTTGGAGCATTGTCCTATACACCGAAAGGTTGTGGGTTCAACTCCCCATTAGGGCACATACCTAAGTTTTGGGTTTGATCCCCAGGTAAGGCACATATGGGAGGTGGCTGATTGACCTACTGATGTTTCTTCCTCGTCCTTCCCTCTCTACCTAAAGTCAATAAAAACATTTCCTTCAGCCCAGCTGGTGTAGCTCAACAGTTGAGCTTCAACTCAGGAACCAAGAAGTCACTGGTTTGATTCCTGGTCAGGGCACATGCCGCAGAAGGTGTGCAACCTCCTGTTGGGGGTGTGCAGGAGGAAGCCAATCAATGATATTTCTCTCTTGTGGATGTTTCTGTGTCTCTATCCCTCTCCTGTCCTCTCTCTTTAAAAAAAAAAATCAATAACAACATACATTGAGTACCCAGATTATGATTTCTGAATGCATAAATAATCTGGCCACTCAGTGTATATCCTATATAATAAAAGGTAATACGCAAATTGTCCCCTTGACCAGGAGTTTGACCAGCAGGCAGGCCGGCCAACCGCCAATGTCCCCTCCCCCTGGCCAGGCTGGCTGGACCCCACCCGTGCACGAATTCATGTACCGGGTGTCTAAAATATATACATACACTGGGTGGCCAGATTATTATGCATTCAGAGATCATAATAATCTGGCCACTCAGTATATTTTTAAAAAACATATCTTCGAGTGAGAATTTTTTTAAAAAATTAATTTCAGTAGATGCCAGGGGTTGGATGGAGGGGGGTGGGGAATTAATGCTTAATAGGGACCAAGTTTCAGTTTGAGAAGATGAAAGAATCCTGGAGCCCAGGTCGGCTGGTTCAGTTAGAGCCTCATCCTGTGCACCAAAAGATTGCGGGTTCAATTCCCAGTCAGGACACATACCTGGGTTGCATGTGGGATCAAATGTATGGGGGAGGCGACAGATTGACCCATCCATGTTTCTCTTCCACATGGATGTTTCTTTTTTTTTCTTCTCTCTCTCTCTCCCTTTCTCTCTCTAAATCAATGAACATATCCTCTGGCGAGGCTTTCTCTGCCTGCTGTTACCTTTCCTGATCACCACAGCAGCCGTCACCAACCCAGCGAGGAGGAGGGCACCAGCCAGGCTCAGGGAGAGTGCCAGGATCCAAGTGGGCACTAGAGGGAAATGGGAAAAGAGAGAGTGGGCAGGTCATGGAGTTGGGGAGCCACAGGGAGGAAGGAGGACAGCTGTCATCTTGGGAGAGCTAGCGCTTCCCTCTGACCCCCCAACTATGTGGCTTGCGTGTAACTGGACACTAGGGACCCAGCAAACCTTACACCTAGCCAAGGAGAATGGATTCTGAGACTGGATAGGCCTCTGCTGGGAGGAGAGGTTGACTCCTCTACCCAATATGACAGAACTGGGAGGCTATGCATCTGGAGCTGCTGGGTAGAATTTTGCTGCCTGAGAATAAGACACAGAAGAAAGCTGAACTGAGAGGTGGCAGACGATTCCTGACACCTTTGGGCACCTGGATTCAGCCACGCCTGAAGTCAGCTCTGTGATCTGGCTTCAGTTCAGCGAATCAATACATCCCTCTTTGTTGTCGAAGCCAGTATGAGACAAGTTTTCAGTTACTTGCAGCCTGAAGATTCAGTTACTTGAGGCCTGATTTCAGCATGGGGACCAGGGGATCAAGGGTCTAATCCCTGCCCCGGCCATGTGTGCGCCACGAGGCCTACGCAGAGGTCAGCCACAGGAGCTGAAGCCCCCGCTCCAGGGTTTTGTCCACAAAGGATTTGGCTGCCCCTCCCTGGAGACAGAGGGGGTCTGTCAGGGGAGCCTGGAGCAGACGCCCTGACCCCAGGGGAGGTGAGGAGCTAAGCCAGGAGGGTGAAGGAGAAATGCGCACTTGGTGTTCTCACAGTGTTAGCCTTGTTCATTCATTCACCCAGGGGTTTGCGGGGGGGGGGGGGGGGGGACGGTGAGGTTTGTCACCTCCCCACTCTGAGACCACAGGACCAAGGTAGGAGAAGGGGCCCTTTGATAGTAGAGCTTGAGGCCGGGAAGGATATAGAGGCTGTTTTGTCATCACCGTGTGTGAGCCTCTGCTAGCAACCAAGTTCTATTTGCAGCTGGAAAGTTCTGATGGATGCTGACACAGAGGCTCCGCCTGAGGCTCCTCCCTTCCCCCCTTCCTCCCCCACTCCTTGATCCAGAGTCCACACCCACACCCTTGAAAAGATCAGCAGCCCTCCCAAACTTCTGTCCCACTCACCCAGAAAGCCAGTCCTTCCTGCAGCCACAAGGCCCTACAAGATCCTTTCTGCTACCTTCCTGCCCTCGCTCGCCTCTCCCCACTTTCCTTTTTGTTCATGAGGCTTCAGTCAAGGGTGCCTCCATGTTGCTCAAACACACCAGGTACACTCCGGCCTCAGGACCTTTGCACATCCTGCTCCTTCTACCTGGAACCTTCTTGCCCGAGACATTCCTGTGGCTGGCTCCTTAGCATTCAGGTCTGTTCTCAAACACTCCCTCCTCAGAGAAGTGTTCCCTGACCGCTGTCCTCTGTATCTAGAATGACATCCTTTAGCTCTAGCTGGTTTGGCTCAGTGGATAGAGTGTCGGCCTGAGGACTGAAGGGTCCTCGGTTTGAGTCCAGTTAAGGGCACATGCCCGGGGCTGCGGGCTCAGTCTCCAGTAGGGGGCGTGCAGGAGGCAGCCGATTCTCTCTCATCATGGATGTTTCTATCGCTCCCTCTCCCTTCCTCTCTGAAATCAAGACAAATGTATTTAGAAAAATAAAATGATGCCCTTCACCAGGCTGTATTTCATTCTTGCATTTTTACTTGCCCCCACTGGCAGATGGAATACTTCTTAGACTACAGGTTCAGGGTGCGGGGCAGGTTCTTTAAAACGTTCCCTGGCCAGCAGGGGGGAGGGGGGAGGAAGGGCGCAGCAGAGCATGCACATGTAATGCCTGGGCTTCGGAGACCAGGGGTGTCCCAGCTCTGCTGCCTGCTCTCTATGTGACTTGGGCAAGTCCCTGCATCTCTTGTGCCTTGGTTTCCTTATCTGCAAAATGGGGAGAATCGCTATACCCACGGCACGGGCTGTCTGTGAGGCTTAAGCAAGGAAAAGGAGTAAATCCTGGCAAGTTGGAAGCCTGGCTCGTCCTTGGTGGTGAGAAAGTGGAGCCCGGCAGTGAGGGCTGGCGAAGGGCCTTACCTGGGAAGGACACGTGCACCGGTTCACTGAGGTCGGACAGCTGCGGCTGCCGGTGCTCGCCTACCACGCCGTACTGGCATTGGAACACTCCCCCTGCAGCCTCCCAGCCGCTGCTCAGGTTGAAGGTGACCCTGAGCTGGTCCGCAGGGGCCTGCAGGAGCTGGACCACCTTCTCCCCTTGGTACAGCGTGAAGTTGGCCCCTGGGAAGCCCCAGGGGGCCGTGCATTCAATGTAGAGGGGGTCCTCTTGACTGCTGGGGTGTGGGGGCACCAGCAGGATGGACGGCGCTGGTATCGCCATGGAGCCTACAATGCAGAAAAGGGAGGTTGGGGGAACGGGTGATCAGAGCAGGGGCCAGCCTGGTGGTGTGGCTCACGGCAAGTGGCTCACGCTCTCTGGACCTTGTTCCTCCCTCCCCCACCTGATCACAGATTTATTGTTCACTTGTCAAACACTAGTACACAGCTGATAATTTGAAAGGGGAAATACAATTAACAGAAGTTCTTATTATACCTGTAGCACGGAAGATACATCTTTACTTTTACACATTCTAGAAGACATTCAAATCAACATAGATTCAAACAGGTTGATAAATGTCTGTGGGCCTTGCCCTAGCCGGTTTGGCTCAGTGGATAGAGCATTGGCCTGTGGACTGAAGGGTCCCAGGTTCAATTCTGGCCAAGGGCACATGCCCAGGTTGTGAGCTTGATCCCTGGTAAGGGGCTGTACAGGAGGCAGCCAATCAATGATTCTCTCTCATCATTGATGTTTCTTTTTAAAAATATATATATATTTATTCATCTTTTACAAAGAGGAAGAGAGAGGGATAAAGTTAGAAACATCGATGAGAGAGAATCATCTATTAACTGCCTCTTGCACACACCCTACTGGGGATGTGTCCACAACCAAGGTACATGCCCTTGACCGGAATCGAACCTGAGACCCTTCAGTCCGCAGGCCAACGCTCTATCCACTGAGCCAAACCAGTTTCGGCGATGTTTCTTTTTAAAAAAAATATATTTTATTGATTTTTTACAGAGAAGAAGAGAGAGGGATAGTTAGAAACATCGTTGAGAGAGAAACATCAACCAGCCGCCTCCTGTACACCCCATACTGGGGATGTGCCCACAACCAAGGTACATGCCCTTGACCGGAATCGAACCAGGGACCTTTCAGTCCACAAGCCAATGCTCTATCCACTGAAGCAAACCGGTTTCGGCATCGTTGATGTTTCTATCTCTCTGTCTCCCTCTCTCTTCCTCTCTGATATCAATAAAAAAATAAATGAAATGTCTGTGGGCCTTGATTTTTATGTACAACTGGAGGCTGGTCATCCCCAATCTACTTGGGGAATCAAGTGCCTTGTACATGGTCAGGGGTCACTGCGTTTGAGTCATTTTTAAAAATGATAGCAGTAGTTATTACATAGCAATGCAATTTACATTCTCATTACTTCAATCAACAATTCTGACTATGCACCAGGACCTGCTATAGGTACTGAGGACAGAGCAGTGAATGATAGACAGACAGACAGACATGCCTGCCTCAGGGAGCTGAGGTTCTCAAGGGGATGAGAAATGCTGTGCAGCGCAGGAGAGTGACGAGAAGGCTGCAGCCGCTGGGTGGCCACGGAGGGCTTCCCTGAAGAAGCGACACAGGAAAAGCTGAGACCGTGGTTGGCAAACCACGGCTCGAGAGCCACATGTGGCTCTTTGGCCCCTTGAGTGTGGCCCTTCCACAAAATACCGGTCTGTTTTGAAGAAGTGGCATTAGAAGAAGTTTGAGTTTAAAAAATTTGGCTTTCAAAAGAAACTTCAGTCACTGTACTGTTGATATTTGGCTCTGTGGACTAATGAGTTTGCCGACCCCGGAGCTGAGAGAAAGCATTCAGGCAGAGGAACAGCATGGGCAAAGCCTGGAAGGCTGGGAGGGGTGTGGGCTATTCAAGGAGGCTGGCTAGAGGGCATGAGGGATGGGGAGAGCAGGAGGAGGGAGGGCCGAGAGGTCCTAGCTTGCTTCCCAGGCTGTGGGGAGGAATAAAGATTTCGGGGTTCAGTTTCCTACAGGAGGGACCAGTGTCTCCCCGCCTGCCCCCAGGCTCCTGCGCACGCTGTGGCTCTGGCTTAGGTGAGGGCTACACAAGCCTTCCTTCCGTTGTCCCCCAGCAGACCTGCTGCTGGGGCCCGGGCGGTGGGAGCCTCAGAGGCCAACGGGGCTGAGTCATGGGGCGTGGGCACCGCTCTCCTCAGCGGGGTGGCATTTCTGATAACCGCGATGTGGGGATCACAAAAAGCCCAGGAAAAGAAGGCCAGGCTCCTGGGCCATGTCCCAGGCTCTGGGACAAATCTGTCAGGAGGGCTCAGCCTCCTCCAGCACCTGGGGAGGGCAGCCCCAGGTACAGGTTCCTGCCCCGGAGCAGAGGTCAGGCGGGCAGGCATGGGGAGTGGCTCGGGGGGAGTGCAGGGGTGTCAGGCTCACCAGCTGCCAAGAGCAGGACAGTCCAGGGCATTGCTTCTCCAGCGACCGGCCAGGCACTCTGGCTGAGGCCAGGGTGACCCACGGTTCACCACAGCTTCTTCAGCGCGGCCAGAGCCGGGAAAGAAGAAGCGGGGCTGCTTCTAGCCAAGTTATTTCCTCACTGGCAGGAAGTTGCATATATACTTGAGTTACTCAAAGAGGCTTTCTCCTCTCCCCACCCCTTCCATGGATGCACATCAGACCCTGGCACCTCTCGGAGGCTTGGGGGCCATCGTTCTGAAGATGGGAGGGACGAACAGGTGAGATGGTCAGGGTGTATTTCTTTTTTCTACCCCTGAGAGGACTCCTGGGCATGAGGAAGGGTAAGGACTGTGGGCTGTTAGGGAACTCCATGCCCCAGACATACACCACAGGCCAGCCAGCGCCAGAGGTGATGTACGTGTCAGATGGAGGATGGGTAGGGCTTGGCCTCTGTGACCTCAGACAAGGCATGGTTCTCCTTTGAAGCCTTATCTTTTCTTTTCTTTTTTTTAAAATAATATATTTTATTGATTTTTTTACAGAGAGGAAGAGAGAGGGGTAGAGAGCTAGAAACATCGATGAGAGAGAAACATCGACCAGCTGCCTCTTGCACACCCCCTACCGGGGATGTGCCCGCAACCAAGGTACATGCCCTTGACCGGAATCGAACCCGGGACCTTTCAGTCCGCAGACCAACGCTCTATCCACTGAGCCAAACCAGTTTCAGCATGAAGCCTTATCTTGTTGCTCTGTAGAATTCGGCTCCGAGGAGCAGACAGAGATCCAGAGAACTTATGATACGAAGCAAAGGGAAGCCACAGACAAGAAAAGCTTTAGGAGCGTCCCAAGCCCGGTGAAACACGAGCTCCGGAACTGAGGCAATGATCTGCTGTGCAGAAGAAATTGCCTTCCGGCTCCAGCTCAGAAACTTCCAAAGATTTGTTTGACACGTAGGTTTGCTTTGCTCTCTAAACATTTCTGTTCACATTAAGTGGGTCCACCTGGAGGTTTACACCCAGGAAGGACATAAACATGTGTACGCCAAACACCAAAAAGAACCACTAGACTTTTCTTTGGACACACAACCCTCACTCCAACATCAGGGCCTTTGGGCATAATTCTATCACTCTGGTCAAATCCCACTTCTTCGGGTCTCAGCTTAAAGATCACTTCGGTGAAACCCATCCAGAGCCCTCTGGACTTAGAAAAACCCCTTTGCTGAACTCTCCCAGAGTACCTTGTAATTTCCTTTTATTGCAATTAGTATGTTGCTTGCTGCTTCCAAGAAATCTGTCCATTTCATCTGAGTTGTAGAACTTAGTAGTATAAACTGTTAATGTTTTCTCGTTATCCTTTTTAAAAATGTATATATTTTATTGATTTTTTTACAGAGAGGAAGGGAGAGGGACAGAGAGTTAGAAACATCGATGAGAGAGAATCATCGATCCGCTGCCTCTTGCACACCCCCCACTGGGAATGTGCCTGCAACCAATGGACATGCCCTTGACCGGAATCGAACCTGGGACCTTTCGGTCCGCAGGCCGATGCTCTATCCACTGAGCCAAACCGGTTTCAGCTCTCATTATCCTTTTAATGTCTATAGGGTCTGTGGTGATGTCCCATTGGCAACATAATTTGTGTGGGGTTTTTTTCTTGATTAGTCTTGCTAGAAATTAACGTTTTATTAATCTTTTCAAAGTTCTTTTTACATTGTTACTTTTCTCTAATTTCGGTTTTCTATTTCTTTGATTTTTGGTCTTATCTTTACCTTTTCTTTCTTCTATTTACCTTGTGTCTAATCATCTCTGCTTTTATTAGCTTCTTAAGATGGAAACTTAGATCATTTATTTTTTCAGCATTTATATTAACCTTCACCCAAGGATATGTTTTAATTGATTTGAAAGAGAGAGGGGAACACTGATGTGAGAGACAAACTTTGATCAGTTGCCTCCCATATACGCCCAGACCGGGGACTGAACCGAAATCCTGTTTGTGCCCTGACCAGGAATCTAACCCCCAACCTTTTGGTGTACAGAATGACGTTCCAATCAACTGAGCAGCCTGACCAGGGCAGATCATTGATTTAAAACCTCTATCTTCTAATATAAGCATTTAAAGCTATACGTTTCTCTCTATGCACTGCTTTGCTACATCTCACACAATTTTAATATATTGTGATTTATTATCATTGTTAGAAATAATAGTTTTTCCCTGTGAAGTTTTTCTATGAACCATAGTTTATTTAGGTGTTCCTTAATTTATAAGTATTTGGGCTTTTAAAATAACTTACTATTGCCGAAACTGGTTTGGCTCAGTGGATATAGTGTCAGCCTGTGGATTGAAAGGTCCCAGGTTCGATTCCAGTCAAGGGCATGTACCTTGGTTGCGGGCACATCCCCAGTGAGGGGTGTGCAAGAGGCAGCTGATCGATGTTTCTCTTTCATTGATGTTTCTAACTCTCTATCCCTCTCTCTTCTTTTCTGTAAAAAATCAATAAGATATAGTTTTAAAAATGTTTAAAAATAACTTACTATTGTGATTTTTAATTTAATTCCTTTTTGGTCAGATATTATACTCCATATAATTTCAATCCTCTGAAATTTATTAATTTTTTAAAATACATTTTTATTGATTTCAGAGAGGAAGAGAGAAGGGGAGAGAGATAGAAACATCAATGATGAGAGAGAATCATTGATCGGCTACCTCCTGCAAACCCTCTACTGGGGATCAAGCCCACAACCCAGGCATATGCCCTTGGCTGGAATCTACCCTGGGACCCTTCGGTCCCCAGGCTGACACTTAATAGCCAAGTCAAACCAGCTAGGGCAGAAATTTATTAATTTTTAATGGTCCAGCATATCTTGCTCCACATTCTATTGGCCCTTAAAATATATAAACAATACTCTGCAGTTGTTTGATATAGCCTGTAAATGTCAATTAGATTAGGTCAAGGTGGTTCACAGAACATGCTTGAATTTACTGAATTCATCCAGTTCTCTTCCTCCAGAGGTGCAGGGAGAGAGTCCTTGTCTGCTAAGCCTACCACAGTGCTTGGCATACAGTGACCCATAAATATTTGACTGTCTGGCCTGAAAGCCAAAACATACTCATTTGGTCTATTTTTGTGGCTCTATCCTGTGTGTACAGAATGGTTAAGAGATTCTTGGCTTGGATGTATAGGAGACAGAATTGAGATTTCTCCTAGATACCTGACTCCAAAGGTCTTGAGAAGGGGGGAAGGGCATGCTAGGTGGAGGGAATAACAAGTGGGAAAGAACTTGAACGTAAGGACTTCATCCTGGGAGCATTTAACATGGTGCAGAAATCTACAAACCGGGATTGAGTTCAGAAAAACAGCAACACATGCCTGTACTGGTCACCTGTCACACAGCTGTTGTACTTAAGAGGCACCACTGGGGAGTCACAGACAGGATGAAGACAAATCAACAAAGAATGGCGACTCCTGAGGTCAGAAGCTGTTACCAGCTCAGATCTGAAGTTGCTGGGAGGAAGTGATCCTGAAATTTGGAGAGAGCTGGACTTGCAGGCTTTGGTAGAGATACACAGACCAACAAGGTGGGAGCCAGGAGATATATATGTAGGCTTTTCTCCGCCCCAGGCTTCAGAACTCCTGCCAGGGCCAAACTCAAGTAGCCAGGTTGATCCAGTGGATAGAGGTCAGCCTTCCAGGGTACAGAGCGGTGTAGGGAAAGGTGAAGAACAGCTCTGATGGGGCGGGGCACAAAGATTGCCCAGCACATTCTTAGAATCTTTTGGTTATAATTTCAGGGGATCCCTGATCTTCAGAAACCAGTCTGCCAACTCCCCATGGTTGTAAAGACCTCAGGCTAAGATTCTAGGCCAGCACTACAAAGGGAAGAGGCCCTACATGATGTGGCTTGCTCTGACTGCTTCCATCTCTTCTCTGGTCACTCCTCATCCCATCACCTCCTTTCTGCCTCTTGAACCCTGAGTGCTTTCCACCCGAGGTGGGGCCCTGTTCTGTTTGTCTCCTCCTGTCCCTTCTACTTCCCATCTGGTGTTCAGTGCTACCTCCTCAGGGAAGCCCTCCCTGACTCCACCCAGGCTAAATGGGCCATACCACCTACAGCCTAGCATTTACTTCTTAGCACCTATGACTACCTAAACTCATCTTAGTGGAGTGACAGTAGAATGACAACTCCACAAGGACATGGGCAGTTTGCTTTTGTTGTTTATTTTTGCCAACATTATCTCTGATAAGGGCTTTTTAAAAATTTATTTATTGTCTAAAGTTTTAGGTATGTCTCCTTTTTCCCCGCTTGACCCCTCCCCCAGCCGCTCCCATCCAATCAATCCCCCACCACCCCAGTGTCTGTGTCCATTGGTTATGCTAATATGCATGCATACAGGTCCTCTGGTTGCTCTCTAACCCACTCCCTCCCCTGCCATTTGTCTCTGGATCTAGTCTTGTTCATCAAATTATGATCATATGGTATTTATCTTTCTCCATCTGGCTTATTTCGATTAGCATAATGCTCTCCAGTTCCATCCATGCTGTTGCAAATGGTAAAAGTTCCTTCTTTTTTATAGCGGCATGGTATTCCATTGTGTAGATGTACCACAGTTTTCCACTCATCTGTTGATGGGCACTTAGGTTGCTCCCAAATCTTAGCTATTGTAAATTGTGCTGCTATAAACAAAGGGGTGTATATATCCTTTCTGATTGGTGTTTCTGGTTTCTTGGGATATAGTCCTAGAAGTGGGATTACTGGGTCAAATGGGAGTTGTATTTTTAACTTTTTGAGGAAAATCCATACTGTTCTCCACTGTGGCTGCACCAGTCTGCATTCCCACCAGCAGTGCATGAGGGTTCCTTTTTCTTCACATTCTTGCCAGCACTTGATTTGTTGATGCTAGCCATTCTGACAGGTGTGAGATGGTATCTTATTGTTGTTTTGATTTCCATCCCTCGGATGATTAGTGACTTTGAGCATGTTTTCACATGTCTCTCGGCCATCTGTATGTCCT